AAACAGAATTCAACATATAAAAACAAACTCAAAAAAAACGAACATACTAAGAACTATGGATGACTTTGAGTCAATACAATAAATGTACATGTATATAATATGGTTAGTCACTCCTTTCAGTAAATGAATAAAGCATTTAATTTTCATCAGCGTTTCATTTCTATGGGCAAAAAGGTATTTAACCCATTAACGCCGGAATTTTTAAATTTTTGAAATTTAACTTTATATTACAATATTATTTGTCTAGATGATCTACCTAATAAAAAAAGTATAAGAAAAAAATTGTCGTACTCTAACCGTTTACCAGATATTGACTGTTGTCATATGGCAACGCTAGGCGCTTGCACTACCTAGTTTTGTCGGGTATATAATATTTAATTTATATTGCATATTATGACTAATCCAGTCGAGTCGCTTTGAAAAGACAAAATAAAAACTACAATGGGTAATTTACAGATTTACTAATAATAATATTAGAACAAATTGAAATTTGTGACTACATAAAAGCAATTATTTCAAGCATGTTACCGAGTGTGAAAGAATCTATGCACAAGCCTATATTGCATTTTGAGCATATTCTCACAATTGATGTACATGTATTGCGAGCACATCTTCTTTTTTTTTTTTATCTTTGGTGTGGTGCACCAAATGATTAATTCTGTCAAATCGAATATCATTGGATATTCGACTGTCGGCCGCTGATGATAGTGAGGTTGATGGTCTTTCAGTTCTTCTTGACTACACACGCATACCATATTTCGAAAAATATGTATTGGCTACTTCTCTTTTAAAATTTAATTAGGATGTTTTGTTCTTCTTAGATTTATTATACAACACCCAACTGTTTTAGAGGGCAACATCAAGCGAAAATCTTTTGACTTGACGCACATATTGGGTGCCGCATGATGAAGAAATTATCGTCACTACTGCGTTATCCATCCATCTAGCATACAATAGTCCATCTTGTCTTTGAATTGCTGTTTCAATATGACCACGTTCCTTTTTTTGAAATAAACTTACCCGCCTCGATCCTCTTCTCTGGAATCCTCGTCCGTCTCTACTTTGAGATCTGGAGGCTCAACAAATATATCACCGTCAATGTCGTCGTCATATACCATCTCGAGTGCTTCAGAAAGAGAAAAACCTCTCCTATACAAAAAATGGAGAATATAAAAAAGTAGGTATTGCAAGCGCCTAGTGTTGCCATATGGCAACGCCTGAATTGACACATATTGCTATTACATTTTTGAATTAAATATTTCATTTCATGCAAGAGCATCTTTGTTTATGTGTATGAAATACTTCTGCGATAGAAAAGTTTTATAAATATAGTCCACGTCTGGTATATAGTACTTACTTGAAGCAAATGTCCATTTTTTCACATATCACAAAATAACGACAAAAACAAATGCACCGTACAGCTCAACTACTCTACATCGACTAAAATTGAACAGCTTCAGTGCTTACTGCACATCTCAGCAAGCCAACCGGCATAAATACACCACCCCCGCACTCTAATTTGCCGCAAATATTTTCTTTAAGAAGACAAGTGAGGTGTTGCCATATGGCAACACTAGGCGTTAATGGGTTAAAGTAAAAATACAGCGCCGGTTCTTTAGCAGACGATTATAAGAGTAAAACCTCATCGTAAACACTTCTTATAAACTTAAACAAATGTTCAAAATGAAGGCTATTTTGTTCAATACACTTCTGTGTTTTCTTTTATTTAAAACATGTCTAATAGATTTTTTAATTTAGTTTGTATTAATACGCAATTCTGTACAAGCATAGATCTTTTGGAGTAGCTCTTCCCTGTTGATTCTTACAGTAAAATAACTTTTGATCAGAAATAGTCCAAAACGAAATAATCAAGTAGATTCATATCAGGTGATATGAGTATGAGAGTTAAAACGGTTGTTTATAAGAAAATACCTTATAATTACGCTTCATTTTGGCTCTATCTTATCGCTTTAATATGTCAGTCGTTAAGCTGTTTTTAACTCACCTTGTAGCTATTTAAGTTTTCATGAAAATAAATCAATAATGCAAAAAGCACGAGTTAATTACTAAATGTCGTGTCGATTGATAAAGGCAAATTTGAAACCTTTAGGGGTTCGCATCGTTGAATTTTGATGATATTTTTATAATTTAAATGGATTTAACACTGCCTGTTTTAATCAAGTTTTTTTTTTAAATTATATTTACATTATTTTATATTATTGGAAATATATTATCCGTGCATCATCAATAACTTAATCGTTAGTGAAGAGTACGAATATGTTTTTCATTTTGTTTTCCACTCCATTCTATTTCTTTACATAAAATTAAAAATACAAATGGGGAATGAGGTTATATTTAATAACATCTGGTTCGCCATATTGTTTGCCCAAAAAGGCCAATCTTTTGGAACATCTATAAGTAAAAGTTGTACAATGAGCACCAGTCGTAATTTTAGTAATCACCAAGTAAAATACTTTACAAAATAAATACTAGGAAGTTGAAAAATACATAAAAGTTGTCATATTGTATACATTTTAAAACATATTATATTCAGAGACGGTCCTGTGCTCGATGCGCAGGTGTTTTGTTATGGACGTTTGTAAACAAATGTCTACGTGACCATAATCGCGTTCACTGAGTTGCATCAGTGCGAAACTACTCAAGTCCAACCGGTTGCTGGCACCTTGACATGCATATCTTTTCTTTAAATGGTAAAAAAACCAGCATAGGGATCACGATACTCGATCTTGATTAATCGACTGAATTGTTTAAAATGTATTCATGACATTTGAATAATCGTCTCGATTCGATCGCAATTTCTCGACTGCTTAGAAGGTGTAGAGTAGTGCAATTTTAAGGTTAAGTTTAAGAGACCAAAACAAAAATGCTTCCTATTGTTCACCAAGTTTTATTAGAAAGACAACGTTGACGAGAAAATTTGGACTTAATAAGAGAAAGACATTTGTTACGACGGAACAGCAAGCCTTCTCTTTTTGTGGATAGGCCTCAATAAAGTCTTAGTTCGCGAATTAATAGACACTTTACGACCTCATCTACACCAAAGACAGGATTTTAGGGGCATATCGATTGATAATATTGTTTTATGCGCCTTAAGGTTTTATGTTTTATATCAAAGATGTGTTGGTCAAGAGTATATTTTTGGAATGGCTCAGTGTACTGTGCACAAATATGTTCATATTATCACCAATTTGATAATAGATCACGTAGTAGGCACAATAAAACGAAAAACGAACACGTAATCAATGCAGTCACGGGACACATAACGCAACTGACACAGAACATTACATTTGTCTTGGTAGTAGTTCAAATGACTTCAAAAACCGACAATAAACGAAAATCAACTCGATCGAGTTTCATGAATCCTTTTTCGAATTGCGGTATAGTCGAATTGTACGATTAAGTCGAATCGAGTGTCGTGATCCCTATGCAGATCGTTTTGGACTTCGATAGAAGTCAGACGGGTCTCAACATAAAACTCGATGGCAGTTATTCTTTTGTAAATACATAAGTTCTCTAAGCAAAAATACTAAAATAATAATAAATAATAAGTTATGTTAACTCTAAGGCAATGTTAAGCCTCTAGGAGTTTCTAAATAAAGTTTATTGTAAATATGTAAAATTTAAAAGTTTTTCCTGCAACGTTTTGCACAATAAATTGTTTTTTACGAAGTTGCTGGAATTTCATTATCCCTATTAAAATATTTGTAGCTAGCACCGAAAGGAGACAGTACACTTGGTAAGCGAGCCTTAGGGATCAACTTTTAATAAACTACAATATAATATATCAAATGTTGTTAAATTGATCTCTTGTATCACCTGCTACAGCAAGTTCCAATATTACGTACTGAGAAGGAAAGTGTTTCATTAATGTCAAGAGATTATAATGGCTCAACAGTAATGAATTTTTTCGCCGAAGTTCGTATACTATTTTATTTACAATTACTTTTTGAAAGAAAACAAATTATTAAAAATTATTCTAAATTTTTGTTAATAACATTTAAATGTTGAAATTTGCTATGTTCATCTCATTGTTGCATTGAACTTGGTAAAAAAATAATTTTTATCAAAATTATCTTTAAATATTTAGTCGAGGAATCACGACTCACGATTCTCTCAAACAAGCATATATTTAGTTAATGATGCAAATACGACAATAAACATATTCATTGTTATTAGAAGAAAATGTTTACTTCTATTAGGAACCCATTTTAATAATATATCCCAAGCTATACAATTTAATGGTACAATAAACACTGAAGAATCACCGACGCTGGAGTGCGACAAGGCACAGTTCTAGGGCCGATTTAACTTGTATATAAAAAGTAGATGTTTTCTTAATACCACTTTACTTTTATTTTATTTATAGATTTATAATTTAATCAAGGAGTGCAAAATGGGTGTAAATTCAAAACATTTATTCTCGGGAAAATAAAAAAAACAGTGCAGCTATTAGAACTATTAGAACTTAGGCATCTACAGAAAAGTTGAAGTAACTGGTGTCAATTATTATTAACTTGTTTCTTGTATTATCTATGATAAATAATAGTATATTGTTTACCAAGTAGGAAAAGTTTAACATTTCTGGACGACTGTGAAGATTGCTAAGTCTCGGTTTGCGCCTCGACTTAGCTGTTTCTCATAGTTCTAACAATGTTCCTCCAATGTTCAATAATTGTACTAACTGTCAAATAAATGTAAACATAAACTAAATTTAAAATGTATTCTGCAATGCATTAAGGTTTTCAAAATATAATCCTTATAAAGAACGTATTTTCAATCATTTATGTAGAACACTAACAACTGTAAGGAAATGTCATTTCCTTACAGTAAAAAAAATTATATTTCCTAACAGTTAGGAAATCTTGACTTTTTCTTTAAGACATTTTGTTTGGAATGTCAAAATTTCCTATCCATTTGCGGAAATACTCTCATTCAACTTAAAAAAAAAAACAACATTCATTATTTTTATTTTGTTTCAGGGTACATCTCTTATGGTGTTTCCATTCATCCCAGCTTCGAATTTCTTTTTCCCAGTCGGTTTCGTGATAGCAGAAAGAGTCCTCTACATGCCTTCCATGGGTTTCTGTATGCTGGTCGGCTACGGTTTCCATGTAGTCTCTCAAAAGAAAAACAATAAGATCATGTTCCTTTTCCTATCGCTACTATTAGCATCGCACGGGGGAAAGACCTACCTGAGGAACTGGGATTGGGAAAACGAGTATTCAATTTTCATGTCGGGTTTGAAGGTGAACCAGAGGAATGCGAAACTGTTTAATAACGTCGGTCATGCTTTGGAGAGTCAGGGAAATTTTGAAGAAGCGTTGAAATTTTTTAAGACGGCTGTAAGCGTGCAAGAGGATGATGTTGGTAAGTACTAACTTTTTATAATTCATTTAAGAGATATCCATTTATATAGGTCCATTTTATAGATTTTTCGTGTAGCTACCTACTTGACAATATTAATAAATAAATATGATTTTATTGGCATATCAAAATACAAAAAAATAAAAAACATAATAAATACAGAAAAAACGAGAAAATACAGAAAAAAAACGGAAAAATACGGAAAAATATAGAAAAATAATTAACAATACAGAAAAATACGGAAAATTGGGAAAAAAATTGAAAAATACCGACGAAAACGGAAAAATAGAGAAAACATTCGGAAAAAATCGAAAAAATACAGAAAAATACAGCAAAATACAAAAAATGTAGCAAAATGCAGCAAAATACAGAAAAATGCAGAAAAATACAGAAAAATACAGTAATATAGAGAAAAATACAGAAAAATACAAAAAAAAACATAAAAAATACATAAAAATACAGAAAAATAACATTGTTTTCTTGGACCTACACCGAAGCCGATTTTTCATAGTGATAGGATAATATTGACGTTTAGCAAATATTTACTTGATCTGTAGCAAGATCAGCACAATTATGTTTGTTTATACCTGTAGCTAGGTCAATTTTTTATAGCTATAAAATTAGATTAACATTCAGCAAATATTTATTTGATCTATAACGAAATCAGTTTAATAATTAATAGTATAATATTTAACGAGCGGTAATGCAGGTCATAACTCACGCAGAGGAAGTTCTCGCCTGCGGCTCGTGCTGCAATTTATCAAGTGAGTTATGACCATTAGCAAGTTGAATACCATACTTTATCTACGACTATAACAATAAATACTAAGATACAAGTATCGGGAAAGAACTTTATTCACAAGTTCAATAAAATATGCCAAAATTACATTTTATGTAAACGAGTTAACGTTCTTATTGCTACAACGATATTGAAAATTTTTGTGTATACTTTTATACTTGGTTTTTTGATTTTTTGGTAATAAATTCTGTACTGCATTTTTACCTACTTATTTTGTTTCTGGAGGTGTACATAGTAACTCATCTTCACTATCTAGATTCATCTTTTTTAGCACTATTATTAAAAATTAATTTGAAAACTTCAAAATTATCTTGTTAAAATATCAAATGACATTACTCCCCTCAATGATAATAATTGACTGTTTCGCCTACTGAGAGGCCTTGGCAAATTAATATTTTTAAAATTTTTTAATTATTCATTCCTTTCCAGATGTTAACAAATCTTTTTTACGCCCGTGGAACGTATTTATTAGCTTTAAAATTTCCAAGAATTTACTGCGCACACTATTTACTTACCGAATTATCGTAGGAACCCAGCGTGAGTTATAATAACTCACTATTAAAACTTACGCTGTTTGTTTATTGATACTATTAATAATTGCTCAAATGCAGTTGAATAATTAATATATAAATTAATAGGAGTAGATAAATAATATTATTTTTGTTTGGACCTATATATTTATTTTATCTACAGCAAAATCAGTTCAGTAATCAAATAATATTGTTTTCTTTTGGACCTACACCGAAGCCGATTTTCATAGTCATAGGATAATATTGACGTATAGCAAATATTTACTTGATCTATAGCGAGATCAGTACAATAATAAAATAGCAATGTGTTTGTTTATACCTATAGCGAAGTCAATTTTACATAGCCATAAAATTAGATTAACATTCAGCAACTATTTACTTGATCTATAGCGAAATCAGTTCAATAGTTAAATAATATTATTTTTGTTAAGAAGTTCATTTTTCATAGCCACTAAGTCAGATTGACATTCAGCAAATATTTATTTTATCTATAGCGAAATCAGTACAATAACATTGTTTTTGTTTGGATCTACACCGAAGTAAATGTTTCATAGTCATAAAATAAGATTGACTTTTAGCAAAGTTTTACTTGATATATAGCGAGATTAGTACAATAGTCAAATAGTATTGTCTTTTTATGGATCTATAGCAAAATCCATTTTTCATAGCTACAAAGTCAGACTGACAATTAGTAAATGTTTATTAGATCTATAAGGAGAACAGCACAATAGTCAATTAACATTGTTTTTGTTTGTACCTACACCGAAGTCAATAATTCATAGTCATAAAATAAGATTGACGTTTAGCTAATATTAACTTGAGATATAGCGAGGTCAGTTTATTATTTAAATAATATTTTTTGTTTGGACCTATAGCGAGGTCTATGTTTTATATCCACTAAGTCAGATTGACATTCAGCAAGTATATTTATATTTATATTATAGTAAATATAAAGTGTTCTTGGTTCTTTAGGGATAATAAAGTTGGAGTCTGGCAAAGAAAATAATTTAAATATCTTTTATGAAATCTATCTGTACAATTATTAAAAGAAAAAAATTGTGCAATACAAGAAATGCAAATTAAAACTATCTCTTAGGTCAACTTAAAATAAAAACAAAAGCGTTTATCTGTATCTGAAAAGCACTTCCTGACTAAATGTGTGATACTACTGATCCAAAAGTACTATACCAGGGAGCATACCAAATAGAATAATATTGAAGCCACTCCAAATTTTAAAGTAAAGTGGGAAACCAGGATTGGAATAGTCATTATGACTTTGAAGTTATTTTTTTGTTGCCTTAGCGCCAGAAAGGGACACAAAAGTTCTTTTAGATCGCAGGGTATTTGACACTCCATAATAAACATTTATTTGCTGAAGTTTTGGACTAGCAAGATTTTCTAGGTTATAATTTAATAATGAAAATTCTTTAAAATAATACGGTCCGAATTTCCTAAATAACTTTTTAAGTCATACATAGATACAGCTCATGAAACGAAATAACCGTTCGACAATTTTTATAAAATTATATATAACATAGAAAATACAATGTGCATTAGATTGGCCAATCTCTAATTTACATTCGTACACAGGTACTAAAGGTAGTAAAATATTTCATTTATGCTGATTAATGCCTTTTTAATAATTTGAGATGTGTATGACAAAGATGATATGTCTAACGAAAGCGGTATTGTTTTATATGGTAAACAAAATAAATGACTAAAATGAAAATCTCAAAATAAAATTTACATAGTTTCAACTTTATTGAATTGTTATGGTTGTATACGTTTGTTCAGTTGAGTGTAAAATCAAAGGATCTATCATACAAAAAATTGTATAACTTAATAGCATATGCAGACGATATAGCCTCGGTAATAAAACAAAAGATGTAGAGCCAAGAGGACTGTGAAAAACATAAACAAAGCATCATCAAAAAGGAATGAAGATAAGAAAACATAAATTCTAAAAAATACAAAACTTTAGATATCTGGAAAAAATAAGAATACAGAAATAAAACAAAGAATCGAAGCAAAAAAGAGGCGGAAACTTTTCAAACAATATGATTTATTTGGTACAGTAATCAATCATGTTTATAACGCTACTACCTCCTCTAATAATGCCAATTTGTTTTTATCGTGTAACTTTAGTATTAACGTCAGAGCTAAAACATAATTAATGCTAAACTCTTGACCCAAACCAAGGATTAAAACTTTGAACTATTATAAACGACCTTTTCCATATTTCCCAAATTATTAGGGCTCGTAATAAATCTTCGCATGCCTAACGAAATACTAAATTATTAGATGTAATACCGTGTTACCGAGTTGTCACTTCATTTAACAAGAGAAAAGCCAAGCAGCTCTAAAATGTCTCGACTGGAACCGATCCTAGTTAAAATAGATCACGTTTTAGGGTATGACATAATTGTCATTTGAGGCATTATAATATTTTTAACGTGCTGATAAAAAAATCTCAGGACAGATTGCTTATAATGAGGAGTTTTCTTTGAAAAGTATATACAGGTTGTAACAAAAAGGTAGGTAATAAATTATAGCAGATATTATGTAGTCATAAATAAGCCAGTTAGACTTATATAACCTGCAGGGTGTTTTGCGAATGGCTAACCAATCTTTACTAGATGGTAAATGAGTCTGTAGTGATTTAATTTCTTTCATTAATATGTTCCTATTACTATATAACTACAGGCTATTTTTCTTTTCTTGTCTTAGCGGCTGTATATCTAAAAGTATGTTTCGGTTCGCATATTTACACATCCTCCTATATGACGGCACCGGAGTGCTGAAATCTGTTCGCCTTTGTAGCCTACAAGTACGCTACAAAAGCTCACTGATTTAGGCACCCATATCCGTACAAATTTTATGTTATGTGAGACTTTTCTTTTCAATTTGAGCTGTGTCCAGGCCGTTGGAGTGTGCCGGTAGGCGTAGCCAGGTATGGGTTAAAATTTTTTGGTGGCGGCGAAGCCGCCACCCTACGAGAATTCGTTGCTTCGTTTTCTTCTTATATATTTTCTTTTTTTTTAATCCCAAAACACTTCAAATGCGTCATTTGAATGACATCATGTCTATTAACGGCATTTTAGTACACGACCGTTTAACGGCAGTTTAAGTACCGCCATTGTTTCATAGAATGCAGATAAGCTTGCTTACTGCTTCCAGCAATAAGAGAGGCCTCATGCATTGGTGCCTAAATCAATGAGCTTTTGTAGCGTAATTGTAGCCACAAATTTTAGCACCTTGGTGCCGTCGTATAGGAGAGTGTGTAAATATGCTTCCGGTTCCCTCTCTAATGCTACGACGAGACGCCGTGGAACCGTCAGCGGCACCAGTCTCCTAATTGTTTGAGGTATCATTTGGGAATGAGACAGGAGAAAGAGACAAGCGACCGTGTAAGGCGACTGAAAGTGTCTCATACTTCTGAATCACATGTAATTAAATGAAGTATATGTGGGACAGAGCGACCGATGCAAAACACGCGACACCACTTTTAACACAGCAATGTTTGCTATTTGTAGCTGTAGCTTGCATCGGTCCCAAATTTTATATTGAGGTTTATATAGACTTCTGAGAAAAGTATTTACACGTTCAAAATTTTTGAAAAAATTTGTAAATGTATATACAACCTTGAGTATTACTTTATACGAAAATTTTATCTGGTTTGTATTATTAGTTCTCAAGAAAAATCGGAAAATTTACTTTCTTACAAGTATAAAACAAAGAAAGTAGAATATCAAGAGAGATCATTATTTAAAAAAATTAATTATTTTTGGTTAAGAAACTTACATAAATTTTTTGAAAATTTTTGATTTTGCAGAATTGACGTAATTGAAGAATAAATATATTTTACTCGCAAAAATTATATTTAAACTATAAAAATTAATGTATTATAAAATATACTTTCAATAATTATATTTGAATACAGTGACCTCGAAACGTTAATAATTTTTTTATAAATTTAGTGAAAAATTCAATTAAACAATAACACTATTTTGAATTTCCTCTTTTAAAGCCTTATCTCTGAGAGGTGCTGCCATCTCAATCAGTACTTTCTAAAATTGCTCACAGAGAGCACTAAATTTGCTACTCAAACAGAAATTTCGGGTACACCAACGTTATCTTGTTGCCAGATCCAGTTGTATTAATAAGTTCGCTGGAATAAATAAATATTATTCTATTAATTATTCGGTCGATGCATACCTATTCATTTTACAGAATATTTGAATTATTTAATTAATAAATGAAAGGTGTGTTCTGAATGATGCATGTGTTTTATCAATTAAAAGAGTAGAACAGATATTAACCAAAAATTAGTATCATGTTTTTGGTAGAATTTGGATCATAGGAAGGGATTTAAGAGAGTTGACAAATAAAACAAAAATGTTTAGATGTTTGCCAAGGTTTTAGAGACATCAGTGCATAACCTAATTTATGTTTAAATAAATTGTCTTATTTCAACCAATCAGCACGGTTTCATGCGACAAAGATCTACCACTTCGAATCTTGTAGAAATTACTCAGTATATAGCTGAAGCTGTGGACAATAAACAACAGGTTAATGTCATATAGAAACATCTACAAATATCTAGAAATATTCATAAACATCTAGAGACATTTATAAACATTTAGAAAAACATTTAGAAACATCTAGGAAAATTTATGGATCTTATGGAATTCCAATAATTTTTAATTAAGGACTTTTTTATGTAGTAAGACAAAATTTGTTTCCATTAGTAAAAACTGTTGAGACACACTGTATATATACATACAAATATTTTTGTGGAGCAATTTATGTGGAAAAAGGTGTATACATTATATCGTCGTCATGCACGCTGCAACATTTATTTTCTGGTTCAATTAAGGAACATTTTCAAACATCTAGGAACGTCAAGGAGCATTTAGAAACATCTAGAGATATTCATAAACATTTAGAAATATCTACAAACATCTACAAACATCTACAAACATCTACAAACATCTACAAACATCTACAAACATCTACAAACATCTACAAACATCTACAAACATCTACAAACATCTACAAACATCTACAAACATCTACAAACATCTACAAACATTTATAAACATCCAGAGACATTTAGAGAAATAGTTCGAAACATCTAGGAACATTTATGGATATTATGGAGTTCCAAGAATTTTTATTCAAGGATTTTTTTTACGTAGTAAGACAAACTTTGTTTCCATTAGTAGAAAATTTTTGAGACACACTGTATATATACATAAAAATATTTTTGTGCATCAAAGAGCAATACGCTCTTTTTCGAACTGTCTTTCTCTGCAATCTGCGCAAAATTTTTAAAATCAACCAATCTTCCACGTTCTTCCATTATCTAAAAGACTCAATGACACTGTCAGAATATGAGGTTTGAATGGCGTCACTCCGAAACAGTTTAAAGTTCCATTCGCATAATAAATTAAAACGTCAAATTACGAAACGAACGTTATGCGGTTCGCTAGAAAATCTAATGAGAAGACACTATGTAGTAAAATCTAATGGAATCGCATTTTATAATAGTGAAGTATATTGAACAAAGAGTATTTAGTTTGAATTTTGTAAAATAGAACTGGGTATTCTTGTTTAAAAAACATTGTTGGAGGTACGTTTATCTTCCAAAGCATTTTTTCCTTTTATAACGTTTGTTTATTCGCGCCGCACACATCTGTTGCAACTGAATTTATGCTTGTTTATTCGAGATATTACTGTAGAAATTTCATTTTTCACATCGGCATTTAAAACGAGTTATGAATAGCGGGAATTGTCAAACTTGTCATTATTATTTTTAGGTGAGCTCGTCTATCGAATTTGATTCACACAGTGCACTATTCATGTTAGAGGAAAAGCTCACGCGACATGTCGAGCTCCATAAGATCCATAAATGTTCCTAGATGTTTCTAAATGTTTCTCTATATGTTTATAAATGTCTCTAGATGTTTTTAAATCTTTGTAAATGTTTCTAGATGCTTCTAGACGATCTTAGATGTTTGTAAATGTTTCTAAAATAATTTAGAAGATAAAAGTGGCAGTGGGCGTGACGACGATCCAATGTATACACCTTTTTATACATAAATGGTTCTGTTACTACAGACATTGTTGCGAAAAGTAGAACGGTCGCGTAAAAACAATGTTTTAGGAAAAATTTTACTTTTAAATATAGAAATTAATAATTAATTTTTATTTCTGCGGTATTTTTGATTGATTGAAGTTGAAATATTCTTTTTATTTACATTACAAATTCATAAAAACGGTCACAAAAATCAAAAAATCAACTGCTATTTCATTTGTTCCATTTTGAAATTAATTTAACTTGATGATGCATTTCTAATAGTATTGACCCTCCTTAACGAATGTTTCCCTCTTTGCAGGCGCTCATATCAACGTGGGTCGAACGTACAACCATCTGAAGATGTTCAAGGAGGCCGAAGAGGCCTACTTGAAGGCGAAATCCCTACTCCCGAAAGCCAAACCGGGCGAATCGTACCAAGCCAGGATCGCCCCGAATCACTTAAACGTTTTTTTGAATCTGGCTAATTTGATATCGAAAAACTCGACGAGGCTAGAAGAGGCTGACATGCTTTACAGGCAGGCAATAAGCATGAGAGCTGATTATACGCAGGCATATATTAACAGGGGTGATATACTCATAAAGCTGAATAGGACTAAAGAGGCGCAAGAGGTCTACGAACGGGCGCTTTTATATGATAGCAATAACCCCGACATTTATTACAACGTAAGTACATATTTGAGTTTTTTAGTTTAAGTAAATTTGTAATCAGAATTGCATGAGTCCAGGCTAAAAAAAAAAAACAGTTTTAGAAACTATTTTATTTTAACTAAATAATAACTAACATTGTTTATAAAGTTTTACCTTAAGGAAAAATAACTGAAAATTATTATAAACTTATACATATTTGGATTAAAATATAATAATTTAAAATAATTGTGAAAAATGACAAAAAATTTTGTTGATTAAATATTTTTCCCTTTCAACAATTTTCTTGTTAAGACCATCAAACAAATCGTCTCAACTCTATCGACCTGAAAACTTCTCTAGAAATCGACCAATAACTTTTTGAGAAACTTTCAAGCCTTTTTAATTCTCATGACAATCTTGTGTAGTGATCACTCATTTCAATTTCCCAGAAATTTTCTAGCCACTTACTAATATTAATAATAATTTATAATACTTTTGGAAAGTACCTACTGTAAAACTCTATTACACTTTATAAATTTTAATCTAGAGTTATGTAACTTATAAACAAACCTACTTTAAATCAAGAACCATCAATTATAGATCTTCTCTTAACAAATGATCAGTTTTAAATCCTCCATGTGTTTACTCACTTGTTTAGAAAAAATCTGACTACGCTGTTCTCTTGTAGTAATAATCAATTAAAAAGTTCGTACTTTAACCGCTAGAGGTAGGATTTAGTCGGGGTTGTCTCCACTTTCGATCCAAAACAGGTCGATTTAATTTTTGTATTGACCTTACAAGATAATTTTTTATTTCGAATCAGTGTGGACAGGTATGGGTGGTGAAGGGATAAAAAGTCCAAATATTTTAACATGCAGTAAATTAAGGTATAAATTGGCCAAATATTATTACATAGACTAGAGTAGGAGGTAAAATGTCTAAATATTTTACATGGACAGGCTAAAGGAGTAATAGCTCCAAATATTTTTGTATAAAGTGATTGAAATTCAAACAATTTGTATACAAAATGTGCAGGCTAAACAGGCTAAGCAGCAAATATTTTTACATTCGAGGCTTGAGGGCCAAAGGGCTTAAATATTTTGTATATATTTGTTGAAACTCAAACAATTTGCATACGCTTATCAAAAGGCTACATAGAATGATTAAAAGAAAACAGAAACCAACAGAACCAACTTCTAGTACTTCCAAAGATGAGACTGGTGTAGAGAGCATAGAGAGACTTAACCTCTCAAATCTCTCTCATCTGAGGATGTAGAAATTGATGAAGAAGCAGAAGAGGGGGATATGGAATACACCCTTACCGATGGGGACAACACCTCCATTAAAGAAGAGTAAAATGGCGAGCATCGACATCGCCCAAGTGAATGTCCATCACGCCAAGGGATCCTCAGCTGTGATCTCCAGGACATTCACTAAAGATCAATTAGGAATCGTACTGATTCAGAAACAGTGGGCCTAAGGGAACCAGGTAAGAGAACTTGCATGTAAGGATGCAAGGGTAATTTATCACACTAGTGATGAAGTACCCAGAACATGTATAATGGTAAGAAGTAATATTAAATATTCTTGTCTTTTAGGATTCATGACGCGTGATCGCGTCCCAATTCGAGCATACCTGGAATTAGGGATAAGGCGGCAAGACATAGTAATAGCTTCTAGTTACTTCGCCGGAGATGGGCCTGTACCACCCCCGAAAATATCGAAGCTAGTGAAGTACTGCCAGAGAAGACATCTGCCATTACTTCTTGAATGCGACGCCAATGCGCACAGCACCGTACGGGAATGCAACGTTATCAATCACAGAGGTAAGCTATTTTTAAAATATATTTTTAATATGAACCTTATTGTGCAAAATATTGGGAATACTCCAACATTTGTAACAAGGGCAAGAAGTGAGGTATTATACATCACATTAAGCACACTGAGCATCAAAGATCTAGTTACAAACTGGAGAGTATCGAGTGAATGATCTTTATCTGATCACAAGATAATTGTGTTTACGTTAGAGAGCGACATTTCTGAGACGATCCTCAGGAGGAATCGTAGAAAAACAGACTGGGATAAATACAACACCATTCTAAAACAAAATTTAGTAGCACTTATCCAGACAAAAAAGGGGCCCAGGCACCCACTTGCTTTGGAAAGCGATCTCGAAGAACTAAATGGGGCAATACTTGAGGCATATGAATCAAGCTGCCCCATTCAAAGAAATAGAACTAGTAGGGATGCTCCTTGGTCATTTGTCAAACTTACGACCCGAAGTGCTGAAGCTCTATAATAGGGCCAAGCACAGGGGAGATTGGCAGAGCTACACCAAGGCACTTACTACATACAACAAAGAAATCAGGAAAGCTAAGCGTAACAGCTTTAGATAATTTTACGAGGATATTAACTCTACACCTGCGGCAGTGAGACTGCACACGGCCCTGTCAAAAGGGGGAGTTGATACAGTTATGGCATTAAAGAAACCAAATGGAAGCTTCACTGAGAGTGAGGAGGAAAGAGCTCACCTTTTACTCGAAACTCACTTTCCTGAAAGCACACCTTTTCTAATAAGGGACACAACTAAGGTAAGCAGGCCCCCAAGAGAGGCCGCTGTAGTGGTCAAACACATATGCAGCAGAAATCGGTTAAACTGGACCATAAACATTTTTGAACCATTTAAGTCTCCAGGTGTGGATGGAATATTTCCTGTCCTGCTTCAGCAGGTACATGAGGAATTATCACACATAATCCGGCTATCCCGGAGCGCAGTCTAGAGCTGGGATATATACCAAAAGCATGGAAAAGGACCAGAGTCAACTTTATTCCAAAAGTAGGGAAAAAGGATACCACACATCCTAAATAATAATAGTAATTTTTATTGACTTTTGAAAACAAATAATACAAATTCCATTTTACATACATATCCTTATGAATATCCATTTATGTTTAGGGGAAAGAAGGTCAATAGGCCCTTTGATCAGCATAAGCTGTTCTTCCTCAAAGGCCTGAGTATCGAAGAAAAAAAAATAAAAAATAATTAATTTGCCTACGTGTAGATACCTAGGAACGTAGATAACAAAGATAATGATTGAAACATTTTTTTTTAAGTTATTCATGTAAAGGTTTTAGCTTTGCTATCCAAATATGTTTATAAATTTAAATTTGTGCAAACATTAAACATTTTATAAATTTTCATATTTTAAAAAGATTACTTAATTTCTATATTCCTGAATTTTTAATTTTCTAAATTCTTAAATTTTAAATGTTTTTAAAATATTTTAATTTTAAATTCTTAAATTTCTAAATTCCTAAATTCCTAAATTCCTAAATTAATTCCTAAAATCCTAAATTCCTAAAATCCTAAATTCATAAATTCTAAAATTCCTAAATTCTTAAATTCTAAAATTCCTAAATTTCTAAATTCCTAAATTCTTAAATTCTAAAATTCCTAAATTTCTAAATTCCTAAATTCGTAAATTCCTAAATTCCTAAATTCCTAAATTCCTAAATTCCTAAATTCCTAAATTCCTTAATTCCTAAATTTCTAAATTCCTAAGTTACTAAATTAAATTCCTAAATTTCTGCATTGGTCATTGAAAATATTGACGAATAGGCGCCTTTTGAAAGAGGTAGTAGAAAGGTTTCTTAGGGAATCTGTAACATTGTTATATTCTTTCGATGTCTGATATGAGTAACTGTTCTTAAACTGTTGTGTATTGTGTTTTGGTACATCAATTTCATTTTTCTAACGAGTATGCTTGTTATGAATATCTATACGGAAGACAATTTTGTTATAAAGGTATTGTGGACATTTTTTCATTATTGTTTTGTGAAACAGGGTTAGTGCATGAAGTTTTCTGCGATTTCGTATATTTCACAACTTAGCTAATTTTAGAGTACGAGAAATCCTTTCAAATTTCTTTATTCCATAAATGAGCCTTAGAAAAGAATTTTGAAGTTTTTGTATTTTATTGGAATCGCAGTAATAAATTTTTTCATGGGAATTAAAGTCAAGAATTAAGTCACCATGAGCTGAGATTTGTGAATGACAAACAATGCTACTGTTTTAGAATGTCCAATGTAACAGAAATTTCATATAATCCTGGTAAATAAAAGACATACATGCAATGCGCTGTACTTTAAGAAGATAATTTTAATTTTCATAATAAATGTTGGTTGTTTATATCTACTGATACATATTTATATAATATGCCTATCAAAAAAAGAAACTATTTCAAGAAAAACAAAATACCAAACTTTTCCTATTGAATCGAAATTAGATAACTAAATGGTTGGTTGAATTTCTTTGAGAAAAAAATTAGCTGTACAGTCGCCACGTTCTTTGCAATATACAATGAACAAACATCACTTTTATCGATGTCATCAACGTTTAAAACACTGTCAAAAACATATTCGCATTCTTGTTCTTTTGAACCACTTTACGGACGACTTTCTTGCAGTAATTACAGATCAAACACTTCTTTGGTATGTTTGCTTTACTTTTCTCTGCACTACCTAGTTCTTGCTTTGATGTGAGAGCTTCCTTATATGTACACAGTAGGGTCGTAAGAATATTAGTCCGTTATTTTTTATTTGCTATGAGCTTACAGGTTAATTTAAATTCAAATTATTCGTTCCTAATGTCTTAATGATCACAATTATTATATATTACTTTGGATTCGTTTTTAATTACTTATTTAATTTTTAATACAATTCCAGGTATTGATTTTTTTGTTTAATTTATGAGTAGCAATATCAGGATATTATGTATTTTAATAGTTTCCTAGGATTATTACTACTAGCGATATATTCTTCATATTTTCTTACGTTGTTGAATAAAATGTTGGAAAAACGTCGATAGTTAACAAAATCAACAAGTCAACTAGTTTATTTGTACGTAATACTTTAAAAAATCGTCTTTAATCGACAATATTTATTTTTAAACTAACTTAAACTGCAAAGTTTCGTCTATTTATATAAAAATTGCTGCGAACCACACTATTCTCAAAGAATTTTTAGGTATGTAGTAG